TTTTTTTATTAAAAAAAATACAAAAATCCAGATTTCAGTGTGGGATGTATTGTGCGTATTCTGAATTGAGATTTTTATAAATTTAGTTAAGAGACAAATACAGACTGCTATCATCACCGATTTTTAATTTATTATTCGAATTATTTCGAAAGCATAGAAATATTTGTACATGGAATCTTGCCATATAGACAACATTCTGTTGATATTTGTGTAATAGTAATTTACTGGAATAAGTACAAGTACAAAAACAGAAAAAAAAACAGAGAAAAAAATATTTGGTGGCACAGTTTGGTTAGAAATCTAAGATTTGAGTAAATCTCGGAGTTGGTGGCCCAAAATCAGGTCTGCTTATAACGGGGCACAGCAAGTACCCATTGGGAATTTCAACGGATTGTTGGAAGACCTGGGTTCCAAAACTGCATGGATATTATAAATCAGAAACGAAAGCATTTTTTTCAATAATAAACTTCAATATCAATAGAAAATATCTTACATGTCATACATTCTTGTTGAATTTCGTTCCTTTTCTTCTCCTGTATGTCTTCTATAATAGAAAGAAATTAAATTATGTCCTAATGATTGAAAAGGCTCGAAACATACTTTAAATAATATGTATCAAATACCATATATAAATTATATATATATATATATATATATATATATATATATATATATATATATATATATATATATATATATATATATATATATATATATATATATATATATATATTATGCATGTATAAGTCCTTGAGTCCTTTAAAAAAGTAATAACTAGTAAAAGATGTAAGAGAATAATTGTCTTTAAAGCTGTTTTAATTGAAATGGTTCAGAGTTGACGCCCTTTTGAAAATACTGAGAAATAATTTCTTACTGTTCATTAACAGTCTGTGTAATGAAAGAAGTAACTCTGTGACCTCATACTGTTTACAAGCCTGATCTTTGTAGAAGTCTACCATCTCTTGATTCACAGTTCTATTGCGTATCTCGTCCATTTTCTGTGCGTATATATTTTTGTTACCGAGAAATTTGTCCATTTCAGTCACGGCTAATTTAACTGATGACCACCAATTGTTTAGCTCACTAGTTGATAGATAGGAATGCGATAAATGACAAATTCTATTGCGTGCCAAATGAATTCTTTCTATGCATGCTGACAATGAAATATCATCAGTATCAGGAGCTTTGTTCCATCCTTTCTTCGGTGGAGGTAATTCACAAACATTGCTTAAAAGAGCGTACAACAACGTGATGTCAAATTCAACATAGTTACCCTTGTATGTTCCGGAAATAGGCATAATCATAATGCTAAATTTAGGAGGCAGAGCTGGTAAACGATGGTGTTTCTCCTTAATATATTTTGAAAATTCTTTCGGTTTTATCTTTTTTCGTAGCACAGAGCGCAATTGTTCAGCGCACACATCATGGAGAAGTAGAAATGGTAATGCTGCATTGTTTCTTTCCTCTGGGATTACTGATTGAGTGTTCATCATGTCTTGTGCGTAGCAATTATTTCATTCTAGAAAAAAAGAGTTATAAAATATGTAATGTTTTGGCATCACAACGGATTTTTGAGCAAACTCATTTAAATATTGACACATAAATGCATCTTGCTTACAAACAAAAAAGAAAAAAAATGACCCACTGAAAAGTTTTTAAGGATACATGTCATCCCTGGAGTCTAACTAATCCTTTGATGTTGGAACGTAATTATAGGTCTCACCTACATGTGTCTCCAAATGTCTGTAAGGACTTCAACACCAATTCAATTTTTATTGATATTTTTGCTGTCAAATACGAAGTTAACATTCGCTGGTCTTAAAAATTCTAGCAGAGTATCTTGAAATGTTTTAATTATGACTAACATTTTTTTTAAATTTAGGACAAGTAAGCTTTCCTTTAAAAGACAAACAATAATACGATACACATACAACCTGATCAATAATCGCTAACATAACCTTGACACTATTACTCATGTTACAGGTGGAATTGATAAATATGGCGTCAAAAAGGACAGAAAACAAAATTACAAATAAAGATATTTCAAGTTCAAAAACCGATAAATCAACTTAGTATAATTTTAACAATATGCATTGTCTATGAATATAAAGAAGAAATTGATTGCTACTGTAGATTTCTTCAGATAGATAATCACAAAAAATCCTCTCGTCTTCTTTGTAAGTAGAAATCTGATGTTCGTGTTAACTACCGCTCTTTCAATGCCTTTAAATTTCCTTTCAGTTTGTTTTTTTTTTTTTTTCTCCCCCAAAATACATTAAATTGTAAATGTCTTTAACTAACAGAAATATAGAGGATAATACATACCTAACTTTAAGGTTTATTTAGTTCCGCAATGGCCACTGTATGTACCTAAGATCTGAATACAACATTGCAAAAGATTCCGGAAGAAACTAAAATATTTTTTAGTCCTTTTTTCTATATTTTAATGAAAGGTAAACATTCAAACTTTATAATATAAAAACTTGATCAAATATAAAAGTTGATACTTCGTAAGGATTCCTTAGAGCTTCACAAATCAGATATTTTCAGCATAATTTTGTGTCTTTACAAATACACTTTGTTGTTTGAAATAATTTTATGAAAATTAACTCACTACATGACAAATATTCAACCATAGAAAAGGCAGTGATGATTATTCACGTCTCCAAACTGATACATGACTGTGTAAACAAAGCATCACGCTATGCTTATCCGCGTCTACCTGATCAATATGGCGTCAATAAGTCTGAAATTTCTGGGGTTGGGGGGGGGGGGGTCGTGTTTTATGCCATGTTCAAGGATAAAAATAATTTGTATTGTTTACAGATTTTGTTATACACAATATGTATGTATTATGCAGGGGATTGATTTGTGTTATTCTCCCCACCAAACCCTACCCTGCCACCCATCCATTTTTTACCTCTGAATTATCTCTGATAAATTATTCGAAGTTCCTACATAACATGTAATCAGGGATGGGACAGTTTAATACGCAAACTGTTCCAACGCCCAGATTATTCAATCACAATCTGGATAGCTATTGAATTTGTCTTTATCATTAATTTTTTTTTTTATAATTAAGTGTAAAAATTGAAAATGACTTCAAATTGTGCAAGATTTCTATAAGGTTAAGCAAATTAATTTGTTTTAACGCAATTTTAATGTGACGATCAAAACATGCACCTCCAACTTTTAGATGTGCAGCATCAGCAGTATATTAGTACATGTATATAATTATTTCCAAGAACAACGTAAGATTCAGTCAGGTTTTGACAACGGGTTAGGCGCAGTTGATTTGAGCTCTTCTAATTTCTTAACGGATATGGTGGACGATTTAACCTTCTTGTAGATTTATGACAAATTGTAGATTGATCCTGATATATATTTGAGGAGTTTCAAAATCTATGTTAAAGCTACACCGTGACGCACAAACGGGAAAATTGACAAACAAAGAATTTTTGCATGACCTTTGCAAATTTTGTTCAATATTCCTAAAAGGAATAGGTTTCAGAAAATTACAGGTGTCAGAACTTAAAAAAATCTAAATTTATGGAGAAAAAAATAATTGTTGTATGACCCAACACGAAAATATTGTTTTACTTCTTCCTCCTTATTGTACGCGTGCGCAGAAAAGTTGAAGAATTCGCAGGTGAGTTAGGGCAAGGTATAGGCATTTCTATGCACATAAACTAATTTAAAATGCCTAAGGACTATATCTATTATACAGAGAAAGTTAAAACTTATTGTCTAATACACAATTGGTATCAACGACATGAGATAGCCAGTACACATAATGACGTCATATTATGACGCCATTGTTCTTTACTACACAAGATGAAAATGGACATCAACAAAAATGCTTCGGCGCAAGGGAATGCTCTATTTTATTTAAATGAAACCAGGTATATTTAGAAGAAAAATAATCCAAAGAATGGTGGTTTTGCTGCACAAATATCAACAACTCAGTTGTATAATTTCTCTTTGTAAAGTTTTAAGTTGAATCAGGGTAAGAAAACCAAACCGATATAAGTTTCCTCAAATGTCGATCAAATGAGAAAATGCCTAAGATTTGTGCAGCAGTTTTATGAATCAATAGAATATTCTTCTTAGCATAAAACAATTTTTATGTAAAAATGAATTGGGTAATCCCTTTCGCTGAAGATGTTTTCTTGATGTGTTTTATTACCACCAGTAGATAAGAATAATGACGTCATACTATGACGTCATAATGTGTTCTGGCTATAACATATCGTGGGTACTAATTATGCATAAGAAAATAAATCAAAACTTTCTCTGAATAATAAATATACCTCTTATGCGTTTTTATTAGCTCATTTGCATAGAGACGCCTATACCTAGCCTTAACTCACATGCAAAGTTACCATGTTCTCAAGTACCAAAAAAGGAATGTCGGTAGACCAAGAATTGTTGTTGCAATCGTCAAAAAAGATTATTAGCACATATTTCTTACCTTTGCATGCTCCAATTGAATGTTGTTCACAGGTTTACGCTAAAAAAAAAAAAAGTGGCGTGACCTTGACGTTAACGGGGTGCGTTCAGAGTTTTACCATTAGTGAATTTGAAAACGACCACTGGTAGCATTTGGTTGCCATGTGTAAACTAAGGTAGGCATTGGTCACCTAGTGCTACCATTGGTAACAATTTTTTCCTGTAGGACTATGAACGATTTTTTGCCAAATTCAAACAAATGGCAATACTTGGTTACCATTGGTAACCAATGTTGACCAATTATTACCCTTTAAGCTAAATATACGGGAAAAAATGGTAGTTTTTACAACTTTGCAAACACAGAGTAATCGAAATTGCCTGGTAATGGCCAATCATATGAACACCACAAGCCTTTTTCATCAGTTTTTCTACAACATGAAGAGTATGTCAATAGGATAGAGAACTATTATAAAAATGTTATTCCAAGGTATATCCCAGATGAATTCAGGAGTCATTTTAGACTTACTAGAGAATCATTTGATTACCTATCCATGCGAATAGCAAACTGTAAAACTTACAACAAACTGCTTGGTCCAGAAGCAAATCCTATCAGAGACTCTCTTATGTTTCTATGGTACATAGGTAAGCTCTATAGATATTTAAGATTACAAACACGATATTCCAGCAGCATTTTTAAACTTGCATACAGAACACCATAATCTTTGACCACATGCTTTTAAAATTTCACAGCAGCTTTAATGATAGTGTGTTACTTGTACATGTGTAATACCTAAAACTTAACGTTTTATTACTTCAGCAAATTTCCTAATTTCCATATGAATTATCCGTAGACACAATCATATACAATGTATTGATAATTCATTTTGAAATGAATGTAAACCCTCTTTTATTTTAAATACTATAGGCAGTCTGGAGAGTTTTCGGTCAATGGCTGATAGGTTTGATGTTGGGAAAAGTCCTTTTCACTTGAGCATTACAAGAGTTGCTACAACAGTAGTGGATGAGATAATGCCCTCTGTTATACAGTGGCCTCGTGTTGCCAGGATCCAAGAAATAAGTAATGCCTTTGGAGATATCTCGGGATTCCAAAATATGCTTGGGGCAGTGGACGGATCACACATCTCTATTAAGGCATCCAAGGAAAATCCCAGTGCTTATTACAATCGAAAAAAAGTTTCATTCAGTTGTTCTGTTAGCAACATGTGATACAAATTTGCAGTTCACATATGTATGGACTGGCAACCCAGGAAGCACCCATGATGCTTCAGTGCTCAGGTCATCAGAGTTGTTTGCCCAGTCAGGTGAACTTTTCCCCCAAGGATTTTACTTACTTGGGGATTCAGCATTTCCACTTCTGGGATGGCTTGTGACACCATTTAAAGACTATGGCAACTTGACCCGAAATCAACGCCTCTTCAATGTGTGCCATAGTAAGTCAAGACCAGTGATTGAGAGAAGCTTTGGGCTTCTGAAGATCAGATTTCGACGACTACTTCGGTTGGATGCTTCTGACATAAAACTTGTTATAAACTCTATTCCCTCTGCTTGTGTATTACACAACATTTGTATGAAGATGAATGAGGAAAATTTTTATCAGTTGGATATGGGAAATGATGGTGCTGACAATAATAATGTATGTGACAGACAAAATCCAGATTGTTATCAAATGAGTGGAGTTCGACTGCGGAATGAACTGATGCAGCAGCTCATGCAAATAAATTAAGCCTTAATGAAATACTGAAATTAACAATTAAACATATTTTCTTAAAGAAAATTCTTTATTAAATGTGCATACTTGTAAAACAAAATTAACAAATCAAAATAAAAATAAATAAAAACATGTCATGCATAAAGTATGGGTTTTCAAATTTATGGGAGGGAGCAGGTCAGAGGTCTTCCCGAAGTTCATGGCAATCCACAATTCAAAAGAAAATACTTTCTAAATCTCATTTTCTTAAGTCGTGCAGAGGGGGTGGGTGTACTCGAGAAAATAAATAAAACTTTTCTTATCGGTTCAAATGGGGAAAAGTTACGCTTAAATAAACGTTCCCATTATAGAAAAATAAGATATTAGATATAAACAAGTTGGGACATCCCCCCTTCTAACTGTATATAGAAAATAATTTTGATATCAGTGGACACAATTATTTTCCTTTTAGTCACCAAAAAAAATGTTAACGAACACATCTATATGAACATTTCAAGAATCAAAAATGCAAGTTTAAGACAGTTGATCAATTAACTTGTTTAAAACTGCATTTTGTGATTCTTGCATATCTCTTAGCGCATTCAAAAATTTTTCATCTCTTTCTGCAAGTATGCTACGTAATTCTTCCGTTTTACTTTTTTTCTTCTTCTTTTCTGGGGGTGGGGTCTTGTTTGACTCATCTTCCTCTTCCTCATCTGAATTTTGAGATGCTTTACTATCTAGAGAACCTTTGGCCCCTACTGGGGTAAATGTTGGGTCCTTACTCAGGATTTCTGCCATTTCTTTTTCCAAGGGAAATGGTCGTGGTCTTTTGTTTCCTGTTCTGTTTGAATCTTCGACAAATTCCCGGTAACCTCTTTTTAAAGTTTAAAATCGCTCTCTGGTCTGTTCTCCCGTTATATTTATATTTTTACAAGTCTCTTCACGGAGAGTTTCTGCTATTCCATCCCATACTTTCTTTTTATTTCTTGTTGTTTGTAGTACTTGGGCCTGGACTATTTGCTGTAGACACGGCTATATTGCTATAACTTGGGTCTGGGCTATTTCCTGCAGGTTTGGCTAGGTAGCTATAACTTGGGCCTGGGCAATTTGCTGTAGGCTTGGGTAGGCTGCTAGAACTTGGGCCTGGGCTATTTGCTGTAGGTTTGGCAAGGCTGCTAGAACTTGGGCCTGGTCTATTTCCTGTGGGTTTGGCAAGGCTGCTGGAACTTGGGCCTGGGCTATTTGATGTAGGCTTGGCTATGTTGTTAGTACTAGGTCCTGCATTGTAAGGTTTGTTTAGATACTCCCTTGTTAAGTTTTCAACATTGCTAAGATATTCTAGTACTGTCCCCTTGTCTTTATTGTGATTAAAATAATTTTGGATGGCCATCTCGAAATCTTCATAATCTGGAATAATAAAATCATAATTATTACAAATCCTAATTATAAAACATCATGTATCTGATTTTATGTTTACTTCACTAAGAACAATTTGCTTTTGATAATTCTTTTTCTTTAAGAAATAAGGTATCATTTTTAAACATCTATCGGGATATAAATACGGGTTGGTCACGAGATCAAATTCCATAAAGTCCGAAGGGCTTTATGGTAAATTTGATCTCGTTCCAACCCGTATTCATAGCCCGATAGATGTTTTAAAATGATACCTTATTACTTATATTTACATTTGTTACTTATTCATATTTTATATTTACCTGATTATAATCTTTAACGTTTTATTTTTCAAACCCAACGGCAAGTGTTTGATCCACTGAATTGCGCGTCGACCCTTTATGACGTCACTGAGAAATTACGTCGAACATTTATTACGCGAGGAACCGGTGTTTATACGGATATAGATACGCATTGCTTTTAATAGTGTTATATAAAAGAAAACATTTGCAAATGTAAATATCAAAAAATATTTCACACACTTGTAGTCAAAATATATAAATTTACACTGTGCATATAGATGTATCACCGACAATAAAACATTTGGAATATCTCATACAGGCTAGCTTTAATGCCCACATTGGTATTAATTACTATGAATTTAATTCATAGAATGATGTCAAATCTTCAATTCTATCCAAAGAGAAAAGCTTTTATTTATACCTTATTTTATTATTGTCATCTTTACTATAAGTACCCTCTGTCAGTTCTTTGATTAGTTTCCTTATAAATGGCTGCAAGCTTATAACTACGCTCTTTGCTTCAGCCTAGTGAATTTTACAAATTTCCATCATCAGTGATCATCATATCGTAAACTTACTAGTTAGCCTAGAATTCATAAATCTGAATTCATATCGATTATGAAAGCATTCATAATGAATTTCTATGCATTTACGTGTACCTAACAGGGTTCTCCAAGTCTTGTTAAACGAAGAGTTCTAACTTGTGTCGATATAGTCTACATACGAGCAACGACACATGGATAGAGATGATCATAAAAATTCAGTACTAGTTCTAATTTTCGATTTCTTCTAAGAAAAACAACATTTAAAACATTTTAAATAAATTGTTTATATTCATTTGGCACGGATCTATTTCTTTAGTATAATTACGAACATTATTTATTTCATCAATTTCCAATGTCCCTTAGTTTTACGCTATCACATCACTACATAAGCTTCAAGTTTCTTAAAATGTCAAACACGTGTTCTGACCATGCAATATGTACACAACAATCGTAGCCTCGACATGTATGGAATATGGTTATGTTACAAAACACACTTACTCTCTGAAATAAACGCTACGGCGGACTGCTTAATTAGGTAAGTTTGGTCTATTCCATTAACTGTCAATACAAATGAGAAAAGATCCTCTGCTATCTCTAGAGTTTTCGCTAAGCCCGCCATCTTGAACTTCATAAGTGACGTCACATACCAAACCTGCCTAGCCTCTAGACTGCTGGTAGAGTTGGTGACCTTATTTAAAATCCAAAGTACTACCATTTGTAACCATTTGCAGTCAGTCGTTGGTTACCTAACCTACCGTTGGTTACAAACTAATGAACTCTGAACGCACCCACGATAACAACGAAATGGTAGATACAACCTTTGTTTTCCCGGCAATAATATTGTGCAGTCTTTTTTTATTTATTTATTTATTTATTCATTATTATTATTATTATTATTTTTTTTTTTTTGCTTTACAGTGTACTTTAGTTTTCAAACCTTCGCTATACTCATAATTTTCATAAATCTTTCACTTCATGATACAGATAATTAACCAAGATACAAATACAGGCGATAGAGACAGCTCTTTTTTGGACTTTGATGTCACCGATTTTTATTTTCGACGTGAAAGAGGTGTGGGATCGTCAGTGATAAGGATTTAAGAAGACTTTTAAAAAATAAGAACACTAACAACAATAAATTAAAGTACTGTGAGTAGTGATAGACGGTGGTATAAATAAGAATCTGTAAAATGAAATGGAAATTATGAAAAGTTATTGCAATTTTTCACAATGCATGTATTCGATAAGTAAACTTATTTCATTTGCGTCATTATGATGAGGACATATATTAATTGAAGTTGTTATAAAGTTTATTATATAAAATTTTCTTCATTAGGTTTATTCTTAAAAAAAGGTTTGAAGAATAAAAATGTGCTGAAATATCAGAAACGAAAGTTCGATCGTTTCAAGTTTTTTAGGCTATTTGTACTATTGTGGTGTGCAATCATAATTGAAAATTTAAAATAAAAACATATTTGAGGATTCCGTGGATTAGGCAGATTGAAAATATATCCAAATAATGGATTTTAAGATCGTAATGTTTAATTTTTTTTCATTGAATTTAATGTACGATAAGTCCTTATACTTGTGAAAACCAGTTTACCCTCAATTTTAATATAAGGGAAGCAAAAGGTTCTAATATATTCAAGTATTGACCAAACATATTTATTCCAAAATAGCTCTCTTTATATACATGCATGTGTGGTTCCATTTAGACGCCCTTCCAAGTTAGATGTGCATTTTCTTCAGTTAAATGGTGTTTGAGATATTCAATGAACAACAGTAAATTGACCAACCCAAAGTGAGTTGCAGATTTGAGCTTTTTAAAAGGGAAGGTGCATAATGATACTGTATTTGCACATATTGTAATAGACATTATAAGTTGAAAGGGCAAGATAGGCTAAGACCCCTTTTTGGCACTTGGTTTGGGGTGTCTTTTAGAATGATGCAACAGTTGCATCATTCTAAAAGACACCCCAAACCAAGTGCCAAAAAGGGGTCTTAGCCTATCTTGCCCTTTCAACTTACAATGTTCTATTACAAGCTTGTGTTCTTTGTTTTCAGAAAAAAAAATGTGCAGTAAAATCGATGAAAATTTGCATAAAAATGAGAAAATTCGGAAATTGACATATTTCCTGACCTTCCTGTGACCTCTGTGTATCCCATAACTTAGAACCAATACTCATTGTGAGGCAGGGATGACAAAAGTTTTTTTTTTAATCAATTAAAAAAAAATATGTCAATTTCCGAATTTTCTCATTTATATGCAAATTTTCATCGATTTTACTGCACATTTTTTTTATCTGAAAACAAAGAACACAAGCTTGTCTATCTACTAAATTTATATATTTCATACACTAGTATCAGATGCATCTTGTGTATAAAATCTTAGATAGGCAAGCTTGTGGTCTATGTTTCCCGAAGTGAGACGCATCTCAGATTTGACGAAATTCCACCAGAATTGAGGAAATTCGGGAAAATGTCCCACTTCTGAACCCTCTTGTTGCATCCGTGTAAGCTTTGAATCAAAACAAGTGCTGGTTTTAAAACAAGCTTATTTTAAGTTCTTAACTACAAACTTTCACAGTTTTAACTGTGTTCTGATTTTTACATCAAATAAGGGGCCATATTCGGTCGTTACCACACCTTGTACTTTGTCATGTGTTTCAATGTGGAATGGAACATCTACAGTTTATGACTGTAAGTGATCATTTGATTTTTTTTTTAAACCTACACATTATTAAAAATTGCTTATCTTAAAAAAATTATTGCAACATTATATATAGCTCAGTTTGATGAATTGAGTATCAGTAAATAATGAATTCTTTGTACTTTCCTCCCATACTTTTAAAATAATTTTATCTGCATGCAGTTCGGTCAAATCAAATATTAAATAAGAAAAATTTAATTTTAAGGCAAAAAATTGTCCAGAAATCGTAGTATTCTGAAGTTAGAAATTGTTACTTTAATTTCAAATCTTATACTCAGTAATCAATTACCAAATTTTGCTAACCCTCAGAAAAAAAGAAAGTGTAAACAATCTGGCATAATTAAGTGAAAAAGTTATTGATGTTTGTTTGTTTGTTGTTTAACGTCCCTCTCGAGAATTTTTCACTCATTATGGAGTTGCCACTACTTGCCGGTCGAGGGCTGCAAGTTTAGACCTATACTCGGCACTCAAGGCCACTTAGCAGTGAGGGATCTTTTTCGTGCCAACACCTACTGCGACATGGGACCTCGGTTTATACGGTATCCACGTCCCGTATTGGGATTCAAATCCGCGACGTAAGGATCAACTCTTAACTCCGCAATGCTCTAACCAATGCGCCACGTGGACGACTAAAACATTCTTGAAATTAGGACTGAAATTGAATGCACAATATTTTTAACAAAAACTGGTTTTTCAATGAAATATATGGTAAAAAAGGAAATTAATCACTTTTTGCCATGCACTGTAAATTGTGCGACATACATCCTATGGTGAAATAAAATGAAATAGACTTTAGCTTTGAATTCCCATTTTTGCCAAATTTCCTGTAACTTACTTATTTCTAAAAGGTTGAAAGACTTCAAGAGTTGAACAGTAGTCTTACTTTCCTTGTATGATATATATTGTTCGAAAAGAAAAAAAAAAGAATAAAAGAACATAATATTTTTCAACCACTATCACCCATATGTAATCTTAATATAAACTGACCCGGCAGTTTGAAATGTAGCTAGTCATTGCGTGATAGGAAAATTTGTAAACACATGTTGGAGAAGACTGGCCTAAATAAAGCCCACTGATTCCTTAAGAAAATCTTCATATTTCATGTATTTGCGTAGTTTTTTCCTTCTTTCTTACCCTTTTTAAAGGGTAAATTTTATTCAAGGCACGATAGAATATTCAAGTATAAATGAAATATATATGTAACACGTACGACACAGTCTTTGTATTTATAACCTATATATAATATATATATATATATATATATATATATATATATATATATATATATATATATATATATATATATATATATATATATATATATATATATGTATTTGTATTTATAACCTATAAATTAGCATCTCCAGTAGTTTTTGTGTGTCCGAGAGATAATTAGAAAATGGCTTGTAGAAGAAAAATGCTCTGCATGCATCCAGTTACGCAGTTTTATTTTATTTATCATTCTAGATTTCGCACCAGAACTTTCTTGCTATCTTAGTTTTATAGGTAGGTGTTCAATAATAACTTTGATAAAAATGAAAAAAAAAAAAAAAAAGAACAAAGAAATAAAATAATAACTTCGTTAAAGGTAAAATAATTATAGTCAATAAAACATACATGAAACATTGAAATATCGAGGGTATTTTTATTATTACTATATCAACAGCCAGACAACTTGTAGCCTGAAAGGAACGTGTAATTTTCATGTATCGTTTTAGATGTTGAAGCGTACGTTTTAATCCAGAATTGATTTCCAGTTTTCAATTTCATGACGAGGTGTCCTGACGTGTTCTGCCAATTGTTTGCCTGACCATGGTTGGATATATATGCGCGAATTGTGCCATCCACAACCCCAACTACATACACATTAGATCCTTTGTTTGTACAGTAAGTCCATGAGAACGAGTAGACGCCATCTTCCGGTGCTGTAAATTTTCCTGTTGATGGATTGTACCCTCCTCCCTCATTGGTCAATACATTTCCAAATTTGAGGATTGTGTTCACAGGTATATTGTTCAATCTTTTAGATAGAATAGCATGAAATGCCACAAACTTTCCTTGACAACCTTAAACATGAAATGAATGAAAATTTAGTGTGTGAAAGACAAAATGACAAACAGCATTCTTTCTTTTATCCCATTAAGAATCTTTTTTTTTCTAAATCAAATATATGATACTCGTTATATGGAATCAATCTATAGATCGAATGTTTAGTTTATGTGTGTTGTTTTAAAGATGAGTATTTAATGGGGTTACAGGTAAGACTGAACATTGATCTGGCATGCATGTAAATGCAAGAAATAATTTAGCACCATCTTTCACATACAACCAGTTTAACTGTCAGATCTTCAGAAGTACGAAATATCCTAAAAGGGCTGGACTCTTCACGTAAAAATAATGAAATGAACAAGTTTGGCACAATTTGGCTTGTTGCACTTCATAATTAAATCTACCTCGTATGCAAGTGACATAAAAAGCAGAAGTTTGGTTGAGAATATTTTAGCTTGCTCATGATAATCACGTTCATAATTTGAATCCTTATTTAATGTCTTCATAGATCTAATGCATTTTTAGCTCATGATCGAATAATCACAACTCTGAATTCCAAAACTATAGGTTATGAATTTTGAAAGACATCGATTATTTAAATGATAAAAACAAGTTGCCTTATCGTCAGTAGCTCGATGACGAGAAGTAAATAAAAAATCGAAGATGTTTTAAAAGATTTTGCTTAATTAAATAATATTTTTCTTAATTAAAAGCCAATTTACTCACAAGTGTTCCATGACAAAGCATAGGCATTTTTATGCCTCCTCCAAAGAAATTAAAAACCCCATGATCATTGGCTTTCATTCGACATTATTTTCGGAAATAAGTGGAAAAAAAGATAAGTATATACATAAATGAACTTTTAAATAATTGCCTTAATTATGCCACGTTGGGCACTGGATGGACGGGGTCATTGCTGACAAGAGGGGTTGAAGGTTATTACTGACTGCAAAACATCTTCGAGTCTCTAGAGTTGTAGTATCTTTTACAATTTTACCCCCAGTATTTATGTATATCTTTTATGAAGTAAAGTAGTATGTGAATAAAGTACTGATATAAGGCATTGATTCAATGCATTTGATTTTCTCTAAATCGTACAAGTTGTAGGAAACAAAGGAAATATTTCAATAATGAAAAGGTTTTCTTCTCTAAATGATTAAAAGTTTAGCTCCTAAGACTACATCCTGTACTCTATCATTGTTGTCCAAATCCTAAAACCCCAGGAGGCTTGGGCCGTTAAATTGTTAACGTTCATCTACAGATATTAGTGCATGTATACTAAAATTTGTCGAAACCGACAAAATCAGACAGCATTAGGACCCTCACTAATAAGCAAGACATAAGAATATTCATGTTATGAACATTTTGAAGACTGAAATTGAAAGTTTTACTGCAAGATAGTGAAGTATCAGGGATTATGCATAAATATTTAAATTTGCTGTGTTTTCTACTAAGCCAACTGTGAAATTGATTTGAAAGCCATTTTTGTGTATACTCACGCGTAGAAATATACATTGAGAAACTCGCGCTAAAGTGACCTCACATTGAGGCTACAGAGACATTTAAAAATTGACGATATAGGGCAGCGAAATTCAAACATTGAGTATAATTATTTTTGGAGCATTTAAGCATTTAAAAAGTAAATATGAAGAATGTTTTTAAGTTAAGTGTGAATTATTGGTGTGTAAATTACACAGACTTGTCACGTAGGGATATTTCATGAAGCACACTGTGTGTAAATCACACAGACTTGCTAGCGCGCTTCGTGAAATATGCCTACATGACAAGTTTGTGTGATCTACACACCAATAACTCACACAAAACTAAAAAAAACATTCCTTAAATAAAGATTTTGTCATAAATAATTTACCTCCCTTAATTTCCTTATGACAATCACACTTTGGAACCCAATCCATTTCCCGGCATACATTTTTATAGGTTACGTAGTCATGGCGGAAGGTCTTTGGTTTTGGAGAGTCCGCTCTGGTAAAGATGATCATACACAAGAGTGAAACAAGAAACAGGGTCGTCTTTGAATTCATTGCTTCAGAAGTAGTACTGATGTACTGGAGACCAATCTACAAAAATGAATGGGATATCTCTGAAAAGGCTGTTTTAAGTGATGCAAGAAAAAAGGCAAAAGAAAAAAAAATACCTGAATTCAAGGTTCGAGTTGATTTACCGCTGCAAACAAATTGAATAGATACATTTATTTATATACACAATATATATACTCTTCCATGAATCCCAGCAAAGCGTGTGTACTAATGCTTACTATGCCATTAAATTGAAAATTGATAGGACTTTGTTTTTATCAATATATAACTGAAAATCAACATGCAATGTTATAAAACACGTTATTTATTAGGGCTTTCCAAAAGTCCTTCGACTGGCAATATGCTATTTTTCCTTCATACTTTAATTATATAACAACAAAGTGTGCTTATTGATAATTTTATTTTAACATAGAACACAAATAAGTAAATGTATAAAAATCAGAGCAATACATAGTATTAATATATAAACAACAACAGCATAATTACTTTAGTTGCGCAGTCTAGATAGACGTAGGGCCTTAGATACTGGTACAGCTTCTTGTTTATATCACATAACATAGGGCTTTCAACTAATTTTTCAAGTTGCACGTATGGTAGAAAACCTTTGATAGACAGATTTATAGGTCCCCGACATTCTGAAAATAAAGTATAATCCACACATATAATCAATAATATCATTAACAATTAAATCATTCTTACATAACATTGGTCTTCTACGTCTTGTAGTGTCTCTCAGGGTGTATCTGTTTCTGTCAATTGCAAATCAATGAACTGGTGAAAATATTCTAACTTTTCCCTGATGATTCAATTTTATTTTCTAATCTGACGACATTTTCACCAAAACAACACAATTTTCAAACTGCAGCAGTACGAAAAGGTAAAGATCCCACATCCACCAACATACACACACACACACTTTTGTTTTGAGTTATTGCCGCCACTACTGGCCTAAATAATGCCACTTTTTACTGATAATTTCTGATATTTACTGATATTATACTGCTGGTACTGAAAATTTCTATTTGCTGATATTTTTTACTGTTGTTACTGATAATTACTGTTGGTTCTGCCAATCCTTGTAAAGAATTTATTTTTTACCTGATTAATCCCAGATGCAATGAATAGTAACAAATATTAATTTTACACATTTATTGTGAAACAATGATTACATTTTGTGGCAAATATTTGTCACAATCTATTTATACATAGATGTAAATACCCCGGCGGAACCCAGGGAATCACTACCTGCCTACCGGGATGACCTCCCTAGATCCTTGGCGCGATAGCGCCCCCACAGGTGACTGTGGTGGGAACAGACCTCTTGGTACCAACAAGAGTGAGTGCCACATCAAATGAATGAATTCAAGTTCTGACTCGGGCCCTAACTCTTTACCTGCCTCCCCTGGAATACAACAACAACATGGGGATAATACCCCCAGGGGTAGGCCCCAAAACTTGCCTTTGGTACCCACAAAGATCAAGCTGGTCCCTCAGGTACCGCTGAGGTAACCCCAAATTAATCCTCCCAAGTACTGAGGATAGATTACCCAGAGTTTTGAGCCAGACATGAGAGAATTCTTCATTCGTGGTAATTCCCGAATTCCGCCAAATGAACTTGTCTATACAAGTTACCCGCCACTAACGTGTTAGGTGTATACATGTTAGCTTTTAATTCATTCCATTTCACCAACCTGACCTTTAAATTTCAAAGGATGTATTCACTATTACAAAAGAATTGACCTATAGAAGACAACAATTTCCCGGAAAAAATGACATTTCAAAATCAATCTTTATTTGTTGTTTTCTACCGTATATATGTCTATATTTTTCAAATTTGTATTTTACAACTAAAATTTATTATTTACAACTTTACAATTAACCTCCAAAGTTGGCCGAAACACAATTTTGGCCGTTAAAGCGTTGATTTTTGTATGAATTTTGGCCTAGAAGTCCTTCAGGGCAGGCCTGCCCCTAAATAAAATTGTGATATTTTGATAGGTTGGGATGTAAGGAATAATTTAAGATAGGATTTTTTTAGGGGCACCCCTGCCCTAGGGTCGAAATTCACAAAAAAAAAAAAAAAAAAACTACAAAAAATAAGTAAACTTGATTTTGACAATCTGCTTCAAATTTATACCATTTATTCTTATAGTCAGAATAGCTCAATTGATATATGCGCTGACTATTATATCAGTCTAGACGAACTCCAAAAACAGCGTTTCCGGAAGTAAGAAATTGAGACTGAAAAAGACTCCGAAAAAAGAGTCCGCGCAATCGCACATACACAAAAAATGGCGATTTTTCGGCAAAAATGATGGGTCTACAAAAACTATCCGTGCAAAGTTTTGGAAAGTATGGCAATTATACCAGTACTCATGATCAGAAATGCTAAATAAAAGACTTCGGAAGAGATCGTATTTGTCAGATTTTTTATTTTATTTGCAATAAACGAGATATTTACTTTCAAAGTTAACGTTTCAAGTCAGGTCAATTATAGAGAAAATGATACGTTTTGAGAAGTAAATATGCGTAAAAAAGAGATATATCTGCAAAATGGGACAATATATATTGTAACTGTTAAAAACTTGACTGAATTTTACACATAAATTAGCATTCCGGTTTTTTATTTGTGTACGACATCTGAATTGGACGCGTAAGTTTTTACCATCGTTATTTACCGATTTTTTATGATATACGAACAGATATTATTATGAACACATTTTTAAAACTATTATCTATCAATATGAAGACTTTAAAACCCACTCTTCTACATATTTAGGGCACAACATGTTTTCTAAAAATGAACCTGTTAATACCTCTGCTCCGTGGTGAAAAATGCACATTTTCTGATTAAAATAAATACAAGTTGGGTGTCTTCAAAAACAAATAAAAGCACCTTTATTGTAGGAACAACATAAAATTTAAATCAAGGGGACAATAAATTAAATAAGAAAATATTTCTTACCGGCAGCATTGAATTCGATGTCGTATATCCAATTCACTATTATGCAAGAGTTTGAAGCAATAAATAAGTCACTATACACAAAATAATTTAATAAATGCTATTATCCATTCAACAAAAAATAAAATGAAGTAACAATGCACTTAATACAGCCATTATGCAGCCGTATATTTAGAGAAAGCGAACGACAATCCATCGTTTGTTTACATCGGACGCCATTTTGCCGCAATGCATGATGGAGCCAAAGACTTCGTTTTCAGAGTTCACGCTGTTTTTGGAGTTCGTCTAGACTGTATATCGTGGGTACTTTCTTTTTAAAGTCGGGGGTTCGAATCCACCTGGTGCCACACTTTTATAGTTTTAGATTTTCGCCTTTTCAAAGACTATTTTAAATTTTTTATAGGCTAGTTTATTTTCCTTCAATTATCTATTCTTTATGCATTCCCATTCTTGATACAAGAAACACTAGAGAGATCAAATCGTAACATTCCAAAGTCCAGTTGTCAGTCAGGCGGAACAATTCTCAGTATAAGCACACTTTCTCCGAGGACAACAACAACTCACTCTGTGTTACTCGATACATGTATGTATTCTCGGCAGGATTGAGCTGCGATGAATTTCAATTGTATATATTCCTTAGAATTTAATCACATTGCTTTTATTCTGTCTGTGCTACTAGTGCTTATCTGGGTTACATGTAGTACGTTACGAACTGCTTGAATTATTTAAGCTTAATATATTTAGAATAACATACATGTACTTTTGTTTTCAGTCAATGTTCTAAGATCTTAAGTTTTGAAACAGTAGGGCTACATATATCAGTAACTGTACTCCCTTGGATTTCATTTAGGCCTATATAATTTGCACACATTAATGGCATGTTTTTATTACATCCAACGGAAATGTGTTGTGAAATAAATAGCCTTGACATAAAGAATAGAATTCCAGAGACAGTAGACATTACCATTATGTACAATGAGAAGTAAAGAAAATTAAAGTATCAATTATTACATCTGGAGATAACAAACGCAGAATATCAATGAAAGTGTTCCTCCTACCTCTACTCACTGAAATAAAGATGTATGAAAAACAAATTGTTACATGTATTCAGCCTAATGTCATTAATCAGAACGGAAATCGGCAAGCTTTTTGAAGAGAAAAAACCAAGCCCGGCCCTATAGGTCAGATCCCTATTCATATAGAAGTGAACCTTTTATAAGTGTTCATGTATAATAGACACTTGTTAGTTGTTCCATGTAATAAATCAAGACTCATCTTATATCAGACCAAATAATTGACATACTTTGGACTAATAACTTGCAGCATAAGCAGGAACATTCCATACTATGAGTCAATAATGATCCAGGCGAGGTGCCCAGGTCCTTGAAACCTTAATGTACAACGCAAGTGCATTTAATTTATTCTAAAACAAAGAGTCAAATTCCTTCAATCTAATTTCCCTGACTCCAAACCTTTTTTTTTAATCAAATTGAGGGCTTTTTCCTCAAGGACAAATGGTGTCACTTTGGGTAGCTCAGTATCCTATGAATGCCATATCCCAGACTACACACAATCTACAAAAACTAACATTTTTATATGGATAGACGCATAATATGTTTAAGCCAAAATTGAAATTGAGCTATAATATTTTAATTATACAGATCTCACACCAATGTTTGAGGCATATATAGTTATGGATTCCACCTGCCTAATTGTTTAATAATTTGTTCAGGAATGCCCTATAATACTGCTGCTGAAAAGAGTGTGATCTAAAACAGTATTTGTTTATGTTACAGAAATGAATAGTATTGCAATTAGGGTTTGATAACTAATAACACGTTAGTAGTTTGGGGATTACCATTGAAATGTACCAAAAATTGGCCATGGCTAGGTGTACCAAGTTCAGACCCTATTGTTAAGGATTTGTTCATCCATCTAGCTTAATGATGCCAATGTGACATTGTTGAAAAGGTGTGAATCAATTATTGAAACTTATTGTTTCCAATACTGACCTGAGATGTACGAGGACTCAAAGTCCAAAAATGAAGCCACTGTCAATGCAAAATATAATCTGCAATTTAATTTGATATAATAACTAACTAATGAACTTCTGCTTAAATATAATAGTGAGATAAGTGATATTAACTACAAGTTTCTAACCAATAGTCTGACTTTAGCAGAATTGACTATTTGCACGACCGATTGCTTGTCAGTATGCAATAATATCCTGTTGTTAGCCAAAGGTACCTGAATAAACATTTATAGGTATCCCGGAATTTGGAAAAAAAATTGCATGTTATTAATACTCATATCATAATGGTATTTTTCTTATATTTTTTTCAATCATTATATAACACATACCTGTAGTGTAAAAACTTAAAAAAGCATGTGCTATCGTCGGAAGACATCAAATATCACTTCAAATTTCATATCATGGTTTACAAAGCAAGCTTGAAGGAAATTCGATTTATCTAAAGATTTTTAAATACTTTTATGGGACACAAATGTCAACTTTTCCCAGTTTCTAGACTACGAAGAACTTGAGTTGCGTGAATAAAAATTGTTGCACGAAAACATTGAATTTCAAGCTTAATTTGAGTCTTTCTTGATTAAATGATCATTTTTTTTTAAAGAGTTATCCTTCTTGGCTGGGGAGCGGATATTCAAGATTACGAAAATCAGCTACATAACTTCATCTACTTTATTTTAGTTATTTTACGTAATTTGTATTTAGCATTCTAGACACCTATCCTGGGATTGTTACATAGCTTAGTCAATGTATCTTGAGGTAAAACATAAGCATAGATATAACTGTCTCCATTCTATCCCTTAGAGTCAAACCTGATGAGAGTTCCGCGGTCTTGTCATTAAATATTCCACGTTCAACACAAACCTAGTGCAAAATATCTAGCATATGTTTACAAATAGCGTCTCCCAATTTTCCTGTAAAAAAAAATCATCTATGTAATATACACTATGTAATAACATTATCAATAAAAATATTTCAGAGCTCTTAAAGACCAATGAAGGCACCAATGGAATTTCTTAATTCTTAATTAAATATACACTCCATGAAGTTTAATATCATTGGATATTTCTAAAATCTAAATCATTTAATGCCCAATCCATATTGGTAATATAATTCTAGCTAACCTTACAGCTACATTTATTTGCAATTATGATACTTCACTGAATAAGAATAAATGACAGTGGAGTGTATTATAACTGTGTCTAAAATTATATCATTTCTGTTTATATTTTAAATTCTGCTCTATAAATGCAAGGTGATTATATATGCAGAATTCCAAAAATATCTACATCATTGACAATTCTATAGATAAGAAACCTCTAGGAATCTCAACACTATTGGAATATATGTATCTTATTCATTTTATGCAATATATTCAGTTAAACAAACCCAATATCTAGGGGGATAAATCCTTTGAAATAAAATCCCGACCATATAGGGGTACAACATCTTGTCTGAATTCAACCCCGACCATATAGGGGTGCAACATCTTGTTTGAATTCAACCCCGACCATATAGGGGTGAAAAATCCTGCTAAAATTAAACATCGACCATATAGGGGTGCAGGATACTGCTTAAGTAAACTTCAACCATACATATGCAAAATCCTGCTAAAATTAAACCCCGACCATATAGAGGTGCAGGATATTGCGTAAGTAAACCCCGACCATATAGGGGTGAAGGATATTCCTTGAGTAAACCCCGACCATAAAGGAGTGCAAAACCTGCTATAATTCAAACCCGACCATATAGGGGTGCAAGATCCTGCTAAAACTAAACCCCGACCATATAGGGGTGTAAAATCCTGCTAAAACTAAAATTTATGGTTAGTCTTAAATAAGCTGTTAATAAATAATACACAGGATCCAATTAAACAACCCCAACTTTACGGGGGTGTCATAAATGTATAAATTAAATAATATAATATTTATATGGCTATATATGCATCATTATATTAGATTACATTAAATCACCACTGCATATGTGGATTTTGAAAATAAACAGATGAAAATTGAAAAATGTATCGTTAGACTAAATATAAATGCTGCACAAACATGTACCCACCATTATTGATAGATTTTATCAAGGAAACAATAACAGCTCTCAAATTATTATAATATTCCTTATTTCCCTGATTATTCAAATGGACCCCATCAGCCAGAAATACCGTCCTATGATAAACCAGATAGGCGAAAGAATGCTGCTCCCTCTACATTCTGCAAGTAATAGGACATGCGTCTATTTAATTCATCAACTCTCTTGCACTCTGTGTCCACATGAAACCTGATACGTCTTCTCGGGGGAATTCTATGCAATGTCTGAAGCACCACTACTTTTTTCACATGCATCTTCCGCATCACGGAGATAAATTACGAAGTCCGCAAGTTCATGCAAAATGTCTTCCACTGATGTGTTTCTCCGACACAAATCGTTTGATACAGCTTGTAACAAAACAACATCTGG